CACCTATACCAAACGGACCCTTCGGGCGCGTACTATGAGTATATTGCGCAAGCTATCGGGTCCCGCGCCCAGTCTGGGAAGACATACCTCGAGAAGTATCACGCAGAATTCGAGTCGTTGGGGCAAGACGAGTTGATCAAGCATGCTCTGAAAGCACTCTCAGGCACAGCGGGTAAGGATGTTTGGGAATTGGTGGCAGAATGAGTGGCCTAGACGGACGGGATAGGGCAAGTCGAGCCATTTCTGCCATCGGTTTTTTCCTGCCGACCACACACACTGCTGACCACACGCAATCACGAACATGACAGGAGACAAAGAGCTTAGTAAGGATAATGCATCGGTGGCTGTTGTAGGCAAAGACCACCCTCTGGAAATCATCGAAGGAGAGGCTTTGCAGCGGTATCTGGACGCCATCGAGGTGGAGGGTGACACGGGCGACAGTGCGGGCGGGGCGGCAGCAGGAGGAGATGCAATGGAATTAGCGTCGGAAGGAGAGAGCATGAGCATGTCTTGATTACGGGAGCATAAGCCAGGAGGTTGTTCGTAAGAAGAGACATGGGGTGATAGACGCAAGGAGGTTACGCCCTGTGGGAGATGAGCCGCGGAACCAAAGCGCGGCTTTTCAGTTTAAAAAATTCGTACGTGTGAAATCATACTGCTTTGGGTTGCATGTCAAGTGCGTGCTTCTCATCCGTTCATTTTTTGAAAAGTTTGCCTCAAGGCACCGAGACAAGGGCGGGAGTAACTAATCCTTAAATGCACTTCTCTTTACGATCCAATAGCAGGCCTTCGATGCCCTCTGTCAGATTGATTCTCAAACACAGCCAGTGTTGTAATATAGCTTGCATGATAAAAATCTTTTACACAAATACCTGTCACATTTTTAAACGGCTTCTCTTTTTCAGGATTTTTTAAAAAAACACGTGACGGGACGACTCGAGCCTTTTGCTCCACTCTCCGAAACCCTGCCGATGGAGACATTGCGCCGCGTAGCCAGCTTCCTTTTTGTTGGGGCATTATGGGGCTGCTCCAATGCTTTCATAAAGCAGGCTACGGCTTTATCGCCATCCAGTGGCCTGGAGTGTGACAAGGCCACCGTTCGTCCCGGGGAGTGGGGGGTCAAAATGGGCCTCGCGTCACTCGTTCGACGAAAGGTAAATGAACGAGGAAACATGAAAGGTATCGGGCCTTTAAATCTCATGATTCACGTCTAATGTTCTTGTTCCTTAAAGGCGGCACTGGCGTTTTTGGTCAATCAAACAGGATCTCTCGTTTTTTACTACCTACTCGGCTCTTGCGGTAAGTTCTGGCTTGTCGCTCTTTCTGTCCTTTTCATGCTTTTGCCCTTCGGCTTCTGGTCCTTGCACACTTATACACATATTACATGTACGTTAGAGATAAGCTTGGCCGTACCTCTGTGCAATTCCTTGACATTCGTCTTCACCGCGATCACCTCCTACCTCCTTGGAGAGCGTCTGGACCGTCCGGCCCGTGCTAGCCTCGGTGTCTTCTTCGTCCTTGTCGGAGTGACCTTATGTGTCGTCAGCAAGTGACGGATCGTATTAAGAACTCCCTACTGCATGTCAGACGGCTCTTCAGTGCGGCTTGCAGGATGCTGTACCTCTCGGCGCATTCGTTTCCTCTTGTTCGTCCCCTCCGTGTCGTCACTGGGCCGGGTGCCGTGTGGATTAGGACACTCCCAATTTTCGGCGGGAGTTGGACATGAGATGGCTGGAGTGATGACGACGGGAGTAGTCATAGCGGCATCAGGTCCGGCAGGAGGAGACGCGGGGAGCGAGGGGTCTGGCGCTGGCAGTCTGCTACCTCGGACAACATCCGGGCTGAGGCTCTTAGGAGCACGCATCTCCATGTAGATGGCCTCTTCTGCCCGCAAGCTCGCATCCAGAGCTTGGGCCTTCTGCCTGAGCGTCTCGAGACGAATCTGTTTGCCCGCCACTTGCTCGAGGACACGCACCTTGATTCCCCGCTGCTTGTCCAGCATCCGCTTTAAGGTTAGAACCGCCTCATGCAGGGAAACCAGGCGAGCTGGTGCTTTGCTCCGCAAGTTGGAATGGACCAGGCGGGATTTCTCGGCTTGTACCTCCTCCAGGGTTGCGGTGAGCTTCCGGATCTCCCGTTCCATCCATCCATTGAAACGTCGAAGCAACCGCAAAGGGAGCTCGGAGGCCAGTCGTCGTGCTTCCCACAGCGTGCATTCTTCCAAGAGTCTGGCTAATTTATTTCTTCCGTCACCAAGCGTTCCGGCAACAATTTCGCAATCGTCGTTTGCCTTGACCTGTCCTACCTCTGTACCCTTTTGATCCGCGTTTTCTGGATGGCTGGGGTCAGCCAGTCTGGTGTCGCATGTGAGAAGCTTCTTTTGGTCGGTAATGGAAGTTTTTGCTTCATTTTTTTGCATTTCGAAATTTATACGGCGATGGATAGCCTGATGTAGGTGAAGGACACGAATAGGGACTTTCAGGGGCGGGAACTCGTGACCTTTGAATGCTTGACATGTCCAAACGTTTTCGGGCAAACTAGCAAAAGGAAAGAGGACGAGTCATAATTATATTTAACCTGTTGAAGTTGCAAGTTAAGGACAGCGGCCTTCCGATTTAGAAGTTGTTTCCCTTGTCGGAAAGCTGAAAGACTCTCCCCCAAAGCAACACCCTCGCTTTTTAGTGTTTTCAGAGCATTTCTCTTTTCTATTCGGGATAGGCGAACAAAATTTTGAGTTCAGGTTTGGAAACAGAATGAAAACCCTACACTTACCTTCGTATTCACGTAGCATTGAGCTTATCTTTCCCTCCAGACTTTGAAATGCAGAGTCTGTGGTCGCGACTTGACCAAGTCCAGAAACCGAGGAGTAACTGGCAGCCATGGCACCGTAAAGTCAAAGTAAGCGTGAAATGTGCGAATCGCGATGCTCTGCGCAGCACCTGCCTGCTGGAATGAAAAAGGCGAGAGGTGATGCGACGGAGGGCAGAAAAAAAAATGTTGCGGGCGAAAGGGCATGAAATGGAAGGATTTCCATCCCGTGACACAAATGATTAGATGGAAGGGAAGATTTAGAAAAGGGAGCGGTTGTGTGAGAAGGAGGAGCTTGTGTAGGGCATTTACGTTCCCTCTCTTCACCTTGCTCTCTTATAGTCGCTCGCCGCTCCCAGGCTCGCTCCAGTCCTCGATGCCCGGTCGATTTTCGCGGACTGTAAATTAAACGCGTGCTGTTCAAGGGGAAGGAGACGAGTTTGGAAAGTAATAAAAAAGCTTAAGGGGACATTTGATGTCAGATGGATAATGGTCTGTGCAATCGTTCCCACGTAGTTGATTCTTCCTCTCGACAGCGCGGGCGTAGAACGGTTTTATTACCCGTCATCCACGATCCGCTTATGATCCTGTAAATCTAATGCACCACTCATACAAACGCGGTGTCGCATGCAATAAGAGATTAACTTACTTGATTCATTATGCCTTTTGAGGCCGTAATAGCCGTACGTGGGCGATCTTGCTCGGTAGCATGTCGAAGAACCATGTCCTGTCATGGCCTCAACATGGGAAGAGATTTACTCCGAAGAAGGCTCATGGCCAACCCGATGAGCATTCATGCCGTTGCATATTTGGGGTAGATATTTCATTAAACAGCTCTCCAAGAGTGGATAAAGACGTTAGATTTCATCAGTCCAGGACAGCCTTTTCTTACGGTCTCCTAATTGGCAATGACACCCTCCTTGTACGATTTCAGCAGGTTAGCGTAGCCTCCCCTCCCAGCTTGCATAGCTGCATAAGTTCCTTGCTCTGCAACGCGCCCATTCTATGACATGTTGATGTGAACCACCGTAGATCCTTGATTGACCGACTTTTCAGCCTTGTGTACTACTAAAAACGATAGAACCGTCGAGTCGACATAAAGCAAGTACGGGAGGACATCAATAAATCTTCCCCGAGAAGGAGCAGAACTTATTTCTGATTAACCAAAGTCGACAAGGGCTTTCGACTTCGTCACAAGTCCTATCCTACCTGTCTTTGAGGAAACATCCAGAGCACTGGTGGGTTCAACGAGGAAAAGCACGCTAACCCATCTAGAAGCATCTGGCCTTTGCTTGCGTCTGATATCATGAAAAAAAATAGAGAAAAGATTCTAATTTCCAGCATGGCAAGATGCAACAGTCACTATCCTGTATAGACTCGACCATTTCTGAGCATCACAAAGCCGGCATCTAGCTCTGCTGACCTCAATCATCTTTGCTTGAACGAGCAATTTAGTTCCCCTCCTTCCCATCATTACCACACCGTAAAAGCGCGTCATCAGGCGAATAAGAGAGCTCTTTCCCAAGGCATTGCATCCCATGATGGTATTTCTTTCGCCGGCTTGAATATCCAGGGTGGCATCATGCAGCACTGTCATTTCTCGTAGGGGATACGCAAAAGCAACTTCGATAAATTTAATTCGTCCCCGCAGCTAGCAATGATATGCAAAGTTCTTTAGGGACAAATTTGGCTCTGTGCCCTCTCCCTGCAAAATTGCGATAAGTCGAACCCTCGACTCGATCGCTCTTGCTTCTGATTCGCTCCCATGATAACGTTTGTGCTGTTGCTGTACTCCTTCGGATATCCTAGCGCACCCGCACGCGACTTTTTCTATCAGTGAGCGAAAAGACAGACGATGTACTCCCAATTGCATCCTGGATGCTGGTCCAGCGGTCTCCGACGTCGAATGAATAGTTGGGACAAAATTATCGTAACACAAAAAGGACGTCAACTGCTCTCCAGTAATCTGACGTTGCATGGCCGCGCGTGCCCCCATGCCAGCACGCAAGCTTGCAGGGCCGTTTGCAAATCTCGAACAAGAGAGCAATAAACACCGTGGCCCAGATCGTGGCTTTCTAGCATGTTCGAGAATCTCGAACAAGAGAGCAATAAACACCGTGGCCCAGATCGTGGCTTTCTAGCATGTTCGAGAATCTCGAACAAGAGAGCAATAAACACCGTGGCCCAGATCGTGGCTTTCTAGCATGTTCGAGGTATTGTGAAGCTCGGCACCGTACCGAGCAAGCTCTTGGCCCTCCCCCCCGTGCGAGCGGACGACACGGACTAATGACAAGACCTGGCCAGCCACAGCATTTGCCTTGGCGAGTGACTCCTGACTGCGTCGACCCATCCGGCGGATGAACTCACCATGGAGGGTAGTCAGGGCAATCACGAGGAAGATACCCGCGATTGTCACGAAAGCGAGGCCACGATGAAAACGAAACAAGAAAATGCTCCTACCGATCAGCTAGATGACTGTCGCAGCAACACGTCCGCGTGCGACGAAACCACGCTTGAAAATTCAGAACAATCTATTCAAAGTCGATTCGTCACTTCATCTGAATCTACGCTTTCCACGAAAGCCACATTTTGCTTAAGCAACGGCTCCAAAAGCTAGGACTGAGCACAAAGTGCGACGCCTGTACCAACGAGTCCGAAGAATGCGACGCAAACGAAAGTCAAGGCGGGAAAATCAGGCCCAATACGACAACTGCATAGACCGCCCGTTGAAATTCCTGCATCTTACCACCCACTACGGCGCATTAGGCCTAGGAAGAAAAATGCGGGACGGCTACATCGCAGATGGCGGCTCTGACCAATGCGAATGTGCTGAAGCAAAAATATTTGCGTTCGTTCAAGCTCGACAAAATTGAAGCCATCCCTTTTGGTCTGACGGCCTCTCCCTGCCTATGCTGTGACCCCTTCCGCGGCTGTACCAGTATTCCCGACCCCGAAGCACTCAATGGCTCGAAGGCGGAAAAAAATTCCATGGACACCAGAAAGTCGCGGTCTCGCGTGGAATCACCTCCCTTTCCCACGATACGAGCAAAGCCAGAGAATGTATGGTCATTATCGTGGTTATTTTTGAGGAGATCGAGACGATGCCGTCGGCCGTACTGCCCGTGATGCGGCTTCCCATTGGGAAGGCCTCGAGGCGATCATTTGTACCCATCTTATAGAATCGACAACCTCATTGTGAATGAAAGAGATGGATATATAAACAGCAAACATTTCATGAGCCCTCCAAGTGAATCGCATTCTCTTCAGTTCTCCA